TGGAGGGACAGACATGGAGCAGTGAGGGAAGGTGACACCCGCCTAAACAGTCAGATCAGCCAAATCACCCTGGTGATCAATGGGGTGACAGATGTCACATTCAGACCTGAAACGGTTACAACTTTGGCAAAGGCCTTTTGCATAAAAGGATATGTATGAGTCTTTTGGGGGCCAGGGTAGAACACTACGGTTTGTGTTCAGATGACCCCTCAAAGCCTCATGTGGGGATTTTTTAGAGGTGGCTAGATATGGAGTATGTGATGCTGGGACTGAGACATGGTGCAATGCTAGGATCAAGGGCACTAGGATTAAGGGTGTATTACCCACCCTAAGTAGCTTGAATAAAGTAAAAGGGGCGGAAAGATGCTGTTAAGAGTCCCTGGCTTGCTTGCTTTTACTATCCTCTGTTTGCCATGAACTGGTTCCTTTCTGTGATGCCCCTCTGCCAAGCCCTGCCTTGGACTCTTATGGACTGAAACCTCTATAAACTTAATTTGTGAGTGTTGGGTATTTTGTTTCAGTAATGGGAAAAGTAACTAAGACAAACCCACAGAACAGAAATGTTAGTGGCCACAAATGAAAAAGAACAGATATTGAAAATTTATTTCAGAAAAGTCACTAGACAAATGACAAGTACAAAAGCCAGCAAGAACAAGAAGTCTGGGAGGGGGTGATAAGGACAATCTGATTTTAAGAGTTATCACACAATAAAATGTCACTTTTAACAACAGCAAAAAAGAAGCATATAATGTAAAAGCATATGGCCTATATATAGGGGGAAAAACTATCAATAGAAACTGTCCCTGAGGAAGTCCAGGCATTACACTTTCTAAACAAAGACTTTAAATAAGTTCAAGCAGTGAAAATAATCCATTTTTAAAGGACTATAGAAAAGTTAGTGGAGAATGTTTCAACCAAGTAGAGAGTATTAATTACAAAGAAATAGAAATGGTAATAATAGCTACTATTATATTTGAATTTACTACTAGATTTGAAAAATCACAATTGACTGAAATATAATCATTTGAATTATATTCATTTGCTCAGCAATAAATTTGAACAGATAGAATATTATGTGAATTTAAAGATTAGGTCAGCTGGCATCATGAAGACTGAGGAATGGAAAGAAAAAGAAAGCCTCAGAGACCCGTGGGACACCATCAAAAATACCAGCATACATGTATGAGTCTCAGAAGGACACAGTAGAAAAATATCAGAAAAAAGTTTGAAAAAATAATGGTTTAAAACCTCCCAAATTTGATGAAAAACAATTTACCATTCTATAAAGCTCCAGTGCCTCCAAACAGGAAACACTCAAAGATACACACTGAGAGAAACCCCATAATCCAACTGTCAAAAGACAAGGACAGAGAGAACCTCTGCAAAACAGCAAGCAAAGTGAATCATCACATACAAAAGGGCCTCAAGAAAATCCTCAGCTGATTGCAGATCAGAAACCATAGAGGCCAAAAGGCAGTAGAATAACAAATTGAGTGCTGAGTGGAAAAAACAAAACGAAACACAACAAAACAAACCCTGTCAACCAAGAATAGCATTTTTACTGTTCACCAAGAAAGTTATTTTCAGCATAAAAGAAAAATTAAGACATATGAGTGTTGCTATATGAAATGCTCTATCAAAAAAAAAATGCTAGAGGGGGAGCTGGGGATTTAGCTCAGCGGCATAACGATGACTGGCAAGCAAGGTCGTGAGTTTGATTCCCAGTAGGGGGGGGGCGGGGGGACAAAACAAAACAAAAAAATGCTAGAGAGTCTGTGTTAGTTAATTTCCATCACTATGACGAATACCTGAGATAAACCTAAGTTACAAAGAGGATTTATTTTGGCTCATGGTTTCAAAGACTACAATCTATGGTCACCCCAGTTCATTGCTTTGGGGCCTGTGGTGAGAGTACTTTATGGCAAAAGCAGAACCTCTTCAACTTTTGGCAGCCTAGTCCCCCCTCTGAGATCTGAATCAACTGCATGCACACTGTTCTGAACACAGGGCTATCTGTGCCTTCATCTAGGCTTTTTATCTCTTTTCCAGATCCTCCCTTTAACCTTCTAGCTGATACTGATTCATATGGTCAGTAACTGTTAGCCGCTACTAAATTCTAATTACTCTGTTTTCAGTAATAATCTGGGGTATTAAAGGTTAGTCTGTCCCAAATAGAGTGGGGCACTGTCATGGCTACTTTTAGGTAACAACTTGACTGGATTAACGAGTACCTTGAAAGCTGCTAACACTGAATTGCAGGTTTCTCTTTCGTCTCTGGAGCTAGGGTACCTCTCTCACCTCCGGATATCACAACTTCAGGGTCTCTGACCTTTGAATGCCAACAGCCCCCTGGATTCACAAGCCTTTCACTAAAGAAATACATTACTGGCTTCATTGGTTCTGGAGTTTTTGGATTTGGTCTAAGGAATACTTCCAGCATCCTTGGGTCTCCAGCTTGCAGACCACCTACTATGAAAGTTCTGAGCTTTTACAAACATGTAAACCAACTCCCCTTTCCTATGTATCTATACCTATTAGTTCTCTCTCTCCTTTTTCCTTCCTTCTGGAGACCTCTACTACACACCCTTTGTAGTAAGTAGTACCTTGGCAGTCTTTGAAGCCCACTCCAACCCTCCCGTGAAAAGAACCTCTGCTTCTGAGCCATAAAAGATGGGAGGGAGGGATTGATGAGAAATTGGCTCTTAATTGAATGTCCCACCACAGTTGAACAGTTGTTGAGGAAGGGGTACCGGGAGGACAAAGCTGTGAAAAATGAAACTTGCCATGTGCATACCTTTTAACATTCCAGCCAGAAGTACTGTTCATAGTGCTATAGTTCCCTCTGTATATACATTACAGATGCTTTCATAATAAAATTGAAATTTTATTGCTATTAGTGTACTGACAAGCATAAAACTTTCTATGGCTTACCTTGCCAGCAAAATCACAGGGAGAGTATGATAAATGTGACCTTTCTCAAACAAAATTTCACCTATTATTTTTGGAGAAGAAAAGTCCCACACTTAATTTTGTATAGTTTACTACCATTAAAAAACATACCACACACACAGAACTTAAAAATTTAAGTATTTTCCTTTAGAATAAAATTTCCATCAGATTTTAGCACAAAAAATTCCTCATATAAACACAAATTTAAGATAACTTTAATTGAAGAAAATGTTCATTAACAATGAAGTTAACAATGCTTACTATTCTTTAAACATGATATACAATATTAATATATACTATATATTTCCAATTAACTCCATTCTTAGGCTCAATTTAAGAAACACAATTTTAACAGGTTTTATACAAAAAAATATTTCACTAAGAAAGTAGATAAACTGCACAAAAACAGTACAAGTATCATCTGCATAGCAAGATAGTTTGAAGCATCTATGTATGGCTTTCTTTAAAATAAAACTATTAGGGGGATGGGCCCATTTGGGACCTACTGTTACAGTTGACATATGTAAACTGTTTCACATCTTTTTTAGGCACTTGCTAATAGTGTTCAATCCCTGAAAAATCAATTTAATTAAAAAAAAATCTACATCATACATAAAAACCAAGAAAATAAACATGAATAAAGTCTTATATGTATATTCCTTTTAAATTAAACAACCAGTTTTATTAGTGCATGCACAGAACTAAACTAAAATTTCTGTCAAAAACTTTCTGTGCAAAGTTATACAACAAAGTACAAAAAATTATGTACAGATTTGTTATATACAGAAAAAAAGCCCTGAAGTTTTCAATTAATGAAAATATCATTAACACTTATAGTAACAATGTAACAAAAAATTATATAGTACATAATTTTGTAATATAAGAACTTTATTATCCAATGAGCCAACAAAACGATGCAAGCCTAGAAGGTGAAAAGTGTAACTCTACTGCTTCTATGGTCAGGAAAATGCTCGTTTCTGGCACGTCCCTCAGGAATCTGTCCTAAAGTCTTATGAAATGCTACGTGTCCACTATTAATGCTTTCCCACTTTCAAAAACCAACAGTCAGTATGGATGTGCTCTGCACTGTCAGTCATGCTGAAAAGCTGCTGACAAAAGTGGTCTGTCTGACTGGGCGTGGTGGCACACGCCTGTAATCCCAGCAACAGGAGGCTGAGGCAGAAGGATAGTGAGTTCAAGGGCAGCCTGGGCTATATAGCAAGTTCAAGGTCAGTCTGGGTGAGGCAACAAGACCCTGTTTAAAAACAAACAAAAAAACAAACATACATATACACAGCCAAAAAGTCTGTCCTAATTTGGACATATTTAAATAATAATAGCAATTAAACACAAGTATGTGATCTACTTTGTTAATGTTGTTTCAAATCATCTGTAAAATATCTGATTTTCAAAAGAATCTAATCCATTTGAAGCACTTCTATATTCTATGGTCTTAAAAGGGACAGCAACCATAAACAATGATGCCTGTTTGGTTTACAGGAAAAAAATTTAAATCAGATAGACATAGTTCTATGCAAGGATATGATTGAAAAATATAACCCAATTTGGAAAAATGCTGAAAATTATTAACTGGATTTTAAAACTAAACAAAGACTTTCATTTTTTTCTCGAGGCTGCCCATCTACTGCAATACAGCCATTTAGAAAAAGAAAATCACCTTGGGAGGGTATTCTAATCTCTGACATGGGACACGGCTTAAGAGAAAACATGATTTAGTTGTCCAAAACTTCAAGTATTACTTAAGATGTAACTATGGTGAGTTAAATGTACTTTTCAAAGGAGTCTAACACTCTTCAAATGAACTGAATTAGCAACACAGAATAACTACTCAGGGTCTCTGTATCTTTACAAGTGATGAGAAACTCATTCAGTCACATTGTGAAAGAGCTCTCCATCTATAGAGGAGCTACATTTATCAGATTCATAAGGCTAGTGGAAAAAGAGTGGGAAGGAAGCTGTCTGCCATCATCTATACTAAGAATCCCCAAGGAACTAAATTGAAAAACTGATCAAAATTATCTTTAACCATAAATTCCCACAAATATATCTTTAAGAAATTAAATCAAGATCCATCTGACTGATGTTTTTTCAAAACTTATGTGTGTAATGATGGCATTTTCAAGTACCACACATAAAGTTTTTGCTATTCCATGGAAATAGAACAAACTTCTTAAAAATATTGCAGGAACTATTCTGAGTAGAAAATGTCCAGATCATGTTAACTCAATCCACTGTTTCCTTCTAATTTTATTTCTCCTTGATAATTTTGGTGAATTATTCTAACATATTCCAATCCCGAGTAGCTTCCATTAAATGTCTCTGCCCATGACCAGCCCAAGCATCCTGATTGTCAAATACTCTACCACAAAACCAACAGTTAAACCTAGCTTTCAAAACATTTTCAGAGGTAGTTTTCACAATCTGGTAATTGTTTTTGCTTGTCTTTTTGAGTGTTAGTTTTAGCACAAATCTTTCTTTCACAGAACTAACAGGTTTAATTGTTTTATGCCTCTTGGAAAGATCATCATAAATTGCTTTAGATGGGTTATAACAAACTGGTTCCTGTAAAGCACTTACAGTTCTTCTTGACAATGAAACCTTAACTATGTGTCCATTAAATTTAGTGACAGTTTTCATTACATTTGCTACTTCTGGTGCATCTGCATCAGGATGGTTCAAAACCACAACAGGTTGGTTTTTCCTAGGACATTTCACAAGCTGCGTGGAGCAAAAAGGGAAAAGTCGCAAAATTCTGACTGAATCTTTGGAAAGCCTAGGTTTGCTAAATCCCAATGTTTCATGTCCATCCTCAGCTTTAGCCTTTTCTTTACACTTCCTATGCAACGTGGATTTTTTTCTTGCAGGTTCTTGGTAACTATCCTTACACTTCCGTTTACAGTTTCGGTTTCTAGATACAAAGGCAGCTTCTGAATCATTGCTTCTTACCTGAGTTTTTATTTTTGAAAAATTTCTTTTGGAAGTTCTTCTATTGAAATTTCTCTCAGCTGTACAATTTGTTTTACACCGTAATACTCTGGCTTCTGAATGATCACTGATATGTACTGGTTCCTCAGAAGATTCTGGGCATGTTGCAGTAGAAGCTACAACAATTTCATTTGCTGGCATCAAATCATCTACTAAGAAGGGTAAGGCATCTCTAGAAGATTCCGGCTCTTTCTGCTCTGTAGTCTGATTAGAAGGTACACTGTCTTTCTGAAATGAGGATACAGAGCTGCTAACTGGCATATTATTAGCAGCAGTAACATTTAAAACAGGGTTAAAAATTTTCAGCAGTATCTTTTGTGGTGTTCCTTCCGGTCTCTTTGGCTGTATATTTTGATAGTAAGTACTATTTTGGACGAACTTGGGCTTAAGCAGCTCAGTATTATTTGGCATCACACACTTCAACAAAACAGCTTGTTTGCCATCAGGCAAAAGGGTATAAAGAGGAGATTTTGGAAAATTTTCATTCTGCTGTTTTACTGAATCCGAGATATTCAACTTTGTGCCCTGCTGCTCAGACAATACATTAGTAGGGACAGCTTTCGCTGAAGGATTTGAAGGTTTAGTAACATTAGAGCCTTTTAACGGGAATGTACTTTCTGAGCTACTTTTCATGCTCAAACAACTGCCAATGCTGGAACAAAATGCAGGTGTAAGACAATTACTGTTTTGTTCTACCTTTAAAAAAGGTGTTTTGCAAGGCTCCTTAGTCGTAATTGCACAAGCTGGTACACTCTCAGTTTTGACAGTGGAACCACCTTCAGGTTTCCTATTATTAAATGTCAAAATAATCCCAGGTTTCTTGTTTAAAAGAAGAGAAGCAGGCACACCCTGTGCATTAACCAGTGAAAGTGGTCTTCCTGAAACAAGATGTAATCCAGGCTTATTAGCGACATGCAATGGTATAAAAAAACCTTTTGGAGTTTGAACAAATATAGTTTTTTTCTGTTCTGAGTTTAGAAGTGGATTCTGCATATATAAAGAACCTGAATTTTGTGTAGTGGCTCGTAGTTTGTCCTTTACAAGTTGCTGTGTTATTATTGCATCTGACTGAGTCTTAAGTAATGTGCTAATACCTGAAATTTTAGATGTCTTCTCTGAATCTCTCATCTCCTGTGAAACTGACAGCACTTGTTTCTCTTTTCCATTAAATTTTGAATTTAGATCATTTGTAGCCACACTACCACCAACACTGCCCGATGGAACTGGGAAGACACTCTCCAGTTTGATATCTTTTGATGATTCAACTACTGTTCCTTCTCCCTCATGTTTCTGAAGCGACTGGTCACAATGAAGTGTCAGGCTTTTACTTGGAATTTTAGAGTCTTCTTTTACATATTTTGGTTTTAATTCCTCCTGAAGAAATTTGTTTACCTCAGGTGGCAAAAACTCTGATGCCTGTTGGCTCTGGAGAGAGAAAACAGATGTGATCCTAGGCATCATAAATGAATCAACATTAGAAAAGTCATTCCATTTTGGTTTTTCAATCACACTCTCTAAATTTTGGGTTTCATTGGTATAGAGGTTTTGTCCATCAGTATTTTGCCCTTTTTCTAAAACACACTGCTCTTCCATTTCAGCTTTCATTTTTGAAGTTCCATCTTTATCATTTAAAAGGCTGGCAGATGCTAATAGGCTATCTGGGTTTGAGCTCTCCTTCCTCACGAGTGATAAAACTGTCTCACTAATTGGTTGTTGAGCAGCTGTTCTGCTTGACGAAGATTCTCTCTGAAAGCTTTCACACAATGGTGTTCCTGAAAGTCTACGACGTTTATTAGAGTTATTCACTTTTGAGTAATTATGGAAAGGTAATGATCCTTGATTGGAGGAATCAACACGTATCTCAGAGTTGACATAATTAATGCAATAGTTATGCATATCTCCACTGCTGTATACACTTGGTTTGGCAGTATGGTTGACTTTATCTGGACTTTTATTGATGGTATTCAATACCTCAGGATGAGGCTGAATGATATGATTCCCCCATAAGTCAACAATATCTCTTGCTTCAACTTTTGTGGTCAAACTCACTGATGTGGTAACCAGTTCTGACGATGCTGGCAGAGAAGACACAGTTTTACTGTAATCCACTGTTTGAAGCATATTATTCCTTTCAGTTATCAAAGCCAATTCTTTTTCTGAGATTATTTTCCCCGAAAGTATAGGAGATGAACATGAAAATGGAGTTGTTTTCATATAAACTGTGTCATTTAGATCAGTTGTCACTCCTGTTAAAAATCCAGTGGTATCCAAAGTCTGGGGCTGCAAATTAGCAGTACTGTCCTTTGCAGCATCTGACTGTGAGACTGGTAAGTATAAATTCTGCTTATTGGTAGGCAACAATTTTATTACAATATGCTGCCTTCCATCCACCAACCTGAAGCCCATAAACTTAGCACTATAGTTAGCAGGAATTCTTATTTTATTATTTTTCACCATTAACACTGTAGGTCCTTGTACAGCAGTCTTCAAGCAATCTGAAGTAGAATTTGATCCCTCATCAGCTCTATTACACTGCCCACTGTCTAGAAAGGCTGGCTTTTCTGACTCTGACTCTGTGGGCGTATCACTATTCTCACAATGTGGTCTCTCACTTTTTTCTTCATTTAAATGCTCTTGACCAACATGGCTCTGGTCTTCAGATTTAATCTGTGTACTGTTTATTAAATTCAGCACTTGAGTGTTTTTGTCAATACTTCTGTCACTTCCACTGTTAATTTTCTTACGTATCCAGAATGCCTTCCTTGATGCACCTATTTTATATCTTTTCAGTATTAGCTTAAGTCCTGCTGAAGTCTTTGCCATCCTGTTTTCATATTTATCTTTCTCCATTTTTTCTTTTGCGTATAAGTGTTCCTTGTGAAAAGTTATAACATGTCTTACCAGATGATCTTTCCTGGTGGCACCATAGCTACAATATTGACAAGGGAAAGGAAGAGTAGCAGAATGAACATGAAGATGCTTCTGAAGCTCTCCTTTGGTAAAACATACATGATGGCACTTACTACATCTATAATGAATTTCATTATGTCTGTGAATGTGCTGAACAAATGTGCCAACGTCCTGGGTGGAGAATATACACTTTTCACATTGGAAATTACCATTAACACAGTGTGTGGATATGAAATGTTTTGTCAAGTCCAGTAAAGTATATACACACTCACTGTTACAAATGTCACATTTTACTAAAGTGCTTCTGTGGGTTTGGCGGTGTTGTTTAAATATCTGGAAGTCATTTGCTGAAAAACTGCACATTTCACAAGGATATGAAGGTAATTCACCATGGTGCCACATTTGAAAGTGTTTCTGCAAATCATTTGGGCTGTATCGTGTGTTATCTCCACATTTTAAACAGCTGAAATTGAGTATTTTTGCAGACATTTTTATACCTTCTTCTTCGGCTCTCTCAGACTTCTGAAGCAATGTACATTCTTCTGTACAGCTTACAGTCTTTATACTGATAGATTTTCTTGCAGTCTGTGGTTTGCTACAAAATAATTTTCTGTATTTATTAACTTCATGTTTCATTAGAACTTCATTTGGAATATTTACCTTCGGCAAGTCAATTTTCACATTTTTTAGTTCATAATGAAAACTACTTCCTGAAATTTTTGGTTTAGGTACTGATCTAATAGTATCAACAATGAGATTTTTTGTACCATATTCTAAAGTAGTTTCTTTTTCATCACAAAATAACTTGTTCTCTTCAGATGGCATGATTTAAAAATCCCAGTTTCTTTTGCTCTGAAAATTCTCAATGTTACTTGTAATTTAAACAGGAAGCAGTATTTTCTTGAGACATCTTCAAAATAACCAGGATTCTGCACACATCAATTCACCTAAAATTAAATAAAAAATTGAAATTTTCATCATAAAATTAAAAATCAACTTTGTATTTTTAAGTTTATTTTGACACAAAGTAACAATGTTAACCAAAAACACATATTAAAGACACAAAAGATCTGTTTTCAAGTATGTCAAGAGTAATAGTTGAAAGTAAAAAACTTACCAACAAGTAATAGTTGAAAGTAATAGTTGAAAGTAAATCTTACCAACAAGTAATAGTTGAAAGTAAAAAACTAATCTGGAAATCTGGAAATGCAAGCTCTTGTTACAATTCTGGTATGTGACACTGGGAAAACTTCAACTTCTTTGTACCTCAGTTTCCTCATCTAAGAAACTACAAGTACCTTTTGGTAAGTACCTTCAAGCTGTACGATTTCTATACTAAGGTGATATGACAATTTTAAAAGAGGGTTTTAATAGCTAAATCTTGAAAGCAACCTATATATATATATATATCCATCAACAGGTATTTATACACTATGGAGTACTATTCAGCCATAAAAAAGATACATTTGAATCATGTGTAGGAAAATAAAGACATATTGAGACCATAATGTTAAGTGAAATAAATTAGACACAAAAGGTTAAATATTACAGTTTCTCTTATGTGAGAAACCCAAAGTATAAATACTTTAGAAGGAAGATAAAAGACAGAAGATAGGAAACAGAGAGACAGACTTTATGGAGATGGGAATGGAGTCCAGGGATGAGATATGGGAGGGAGGCTGGGGGAAAGGAAGGTAAAAGAGATAAAGATGTGGTATGTGTATGCACCAATTCCCGACAGTGAGTGTGACCATTATGTATCACAAACATACAGTGGGACCTCGGTTCATGAACTTTTAATTTGTTCCATGATTTTGGAAAAGAGGACCACATTAGTGTTTGTGTGAGAAAGATGGCCACGGTCCTGTTTGTCACCCAGCGTAGAGTTTGCAAACAAAAACAAAATTCTGCCAAATATTTTTGTTTGTGAACCAAACGTCAAACGAAAGTATTTATAACCAAGCTACCACTGTGCTAACAGTAAAGGGAAGAAGGAAAAAAGAAACTGTGAGAACTCAATATTAAAACAGAAACATTAAACCTATTGGAAGAGAAAGTAGGTAAAAACCTTGAAGACATAGGGGCAGGCAGAGAGTTCATGAAGAAAAACCAAATTGCACGTGAAACACTTGAAAGAATCAACAACTGGGATCTCACTCTACTGAAAAGTTTCTGCACATCTAAAGAAATCACCAGCAGAGTAAGAAGAAAACCCACAAACTGGGAAAAAATTTTAGCTGACTGTCCCTCAGACAAAGGGCTTCTATCTAGAACATATAAAGAATTAAAAAATATCAGCCCCTCCAAATTCAAAGACCCAAGCCAAAAATAGGCAGCTGAGATGAATACACACTTCTCAGATAAAGAAATACAAATGGCAAATAAATTCATGAGAAAATGTTCAACATCATTAGTCATTTGAGAAATGTAAATTAAAACATTGAGATTCCACCTTACCCCAGTAAGAATGGCTAGCATTAAGAAATCAACCAATAACAAATGCTGGCGAGGCTGCGGAGAAATAGGAACTCTTCTCCACTGCTAGTGGGAATGCAGACTGGTGAAACTACTGTGGAAATCAGTTTGGAGAGTCCTCAGCAAACTAGGTCTAGAGATCCCCTTCAACCCAGTTATTACCCTTCTGGGTATTTTCCCAGAAGATCTAAAAAATCACACATCACAGCGATATATGTGCACCTATGTCCACAGCAGTGCAATTTTTAATTGCTAAATTGTGGAAGCAACCCAAATGTCCATCCACTGAGGATTGGATAAAAAAATTGTGGTACTTTTATATAATGGAATATTACTCAGCTATAAAGAAAGATAAACTTGAGGCTTTTATAGGTAAATGGTCACAACTAGAGACTATACTCATAAGTAAAATAAATCAGACCTGCATGTGCAAGCACCACATTGTCTCACTAATGTAAGACCTGAAAGTGAATAAAAACTAGGAGGTATGACAGACATTGTGAAACGAAAGGAAAATGCTCAAAGGTAAACAGCAATTGGGGTGTGGGAAAAGACAAGCAAAAGAAGGAGAAATTTTGTAGGTATGTATATACAGGATAGTTAACATAGTTGAACTACTGTCTTCTATATCTTTGCTGAAAGAAACAGTTAATGATTCCTTGATTGAGCAGTACTGCATGTCTCTATTTGTTTTCTTGAGAAACCACTTTGAAGATACCAATATGTAATACAACAAGCATTGTTAATTTCATACCACTTTGTAACTCTGTACTGTTTGTACTGTTCTTTTGCTATTTTGTAAATGGTTGACTGTTGGTTCATGTTTTCCTTCTTTTATTTTTAAAATAAAAAATAAAAATAAAAGGAAAGAAGAAAGAAACTGTGAGTCAAGTAAACTCCTTTACAGTTTTTTTTTTAAAAACCAGGGTTTTAATGATCCATGTATTTATTGACTGATCATTAGACTGACTGAGACAAGGTCTTGCTATGTTGCCCAGGGTGGTCACGAACACCCAAGCTAAAGGGATTGTCCTGTCTCAGCCTCCTAAGTAACAGAGCTACAGACATGCATCACTGCACATGGTTGTATGCATTTAAAAGTCTAGACAAGAAAATCCTAAAAACTTAAGCTCCAGTTTATATAAGGTGGTTTGTTTATGCATCAGTAACTAATTTTTTCATTTCCTCATGTGATCATAGCTAAAAGCGCCATTCCCCTAACACAATAAATAATGAACAAATGAGTAAAAGCTTCATTCATTAAATACAAACAACAAAAGGTATTTTCCACTGCCCCAAGTTATCACTACTAATTGGTTAAAACAAACAGGAAGAAATAAAAATAAATAGCACAACTCTCTTAGTAACAAAGTCCATCTAACCTTGCTGGTTTCCTACCATTTTGGCCATTTGGTTGGTTTTTTTGTTTGTCTGTTTATTGTCGCTAGAACTCAGAAAGATGCAAGTAACAAAACCCTGTCTCTACCCATCTCTATTTATTGAAGCATTTACTCTCAAGGCTTTCTCTTTCTTCTCCTTCCTCCTTTCCCTTTTCCTTCCTTTTTTCTTTTTTTTTAAATATCCCTACCTCTACTTTCTATCCCTAGCTCTACTTTCTTTATTTCATCATCTGTAAAAGGGAAGGAAAAAAATTACTACTTCCCTTTCCCTTACTCTTTCACAAGGTTGTTCTGAAGATTAAATGAGAAAACACACATAAAGGTATCTTGTGAAGTACTACATGAATTGTAGCTACCATTAATACTATATGCGATTACTACGTGGGACATGACAAAACACAGCTGAGATTAAAATCTGCGTACTAAAGTTTCACTATTAAAAATATCAAACTTGGGACTGGGGATTTAGCTCAACAGCAAAGCGCCTGCCTAGCAAGCGCAAGATCGTGAGTTTGATTCCTGGTACCGGAAGAAAAACAAATAAACAAACAAACAAAAAATATCAAACTCTATACTAGAAATTTTTAAATTTTGGTACTCAAATATTTATGTGTGTGTGTGTGTGTGTGTATATATATATATATATATATATATATATATATATAATGTAAAATTAGATCAGCCAAAGCATAAATAATATTAAGCTCCATTCATGTCCAAAGTAAAGTCTCACCTTTAAATTTCAATCAATCTACAAACACTTAGGAACTCTACTATTTCAGAAATGCTTTGTGGGAATATAATTAAAAGTTCAATTACTTTATGTATTAAGAGGTCCTTTTAATATTTCTCATACTTAATCCTTTGGGCTGGGTCTACAAAAACACATTCATATACATGCTAAACTGACAGCATATATTGTATTAAAATGATACTAGCTTACTGATTATTTTTACATATTATGCCTCACACAGTAAAATGTTAAAATATTACTTTCATAAATTTCCTACAGAACTAAATACAAAAACTTCTTAAAAAGAAAAATAATGAATTGTTAGAAAAAAAGTTCAATGATACCTAGTAGATACTCTACACCATTACAAAACATTTCTTACACAGTGATTTCCCATCTATGGAACTTTTACCATACCAGAATCTGAAAGTAAGGTTCAAATATGTGAAACTTTTTTAAACACAGCTAGTAATGGTTGTTTTGCATTTTCCAGTATAGGATGTGGGGGACATTCTGGATTACCATACCCAAGCTTTTCTATTACTATATATACAAGAGACAATTATGGGTCTCATTACAAAAAGGCCAAGTGCTTCTTACAGCAGTACCACATGTTGAAAAACGTATTTGTATAATGCTCCAAAATTCTATTTTTATATTGCTCCTATCCAAAAATTAATAAGACCTGGCCTTGCATAACTTCTGAGATCAAGTAACATCAGGTGGGTGGTATGGCCACAGATAAATATTGTATTTCTAAATACTATCAATTTTTCTTCAAAATATCTAAACAATTTAAATTTTAAAAAAACATGAAGTCTGACAGCCAGTAGAAAAATGGGCTTCTGAAACAACTAACAAAAGAAATAAATGCCTAATACATTAATGTGAACTGTGATGAATGCTATGGGAGGCAGGAAAAGAAAACTAAGCAAGATGTGTGGCAGCCAAAATAGATACCACAAAGCTCACTCACAAAAGTACATGCCCTTTCTTCATAGGCATGTCGTGAACATTCTTTTAGGCAGAATAGACTCCTATTTCAATTTTATATTGTAAATGCAGGAAATGTCATTGAAGTCTACACTTTAAAATGCCTAATTGAAAAAAAATTAGAAAAAGAAAACCAGAATGGTACTAGCACAGGATTTCCTTAAAGATGAGTGGATTTGAGTTTATATTGAAGGGATACATACCAACTGCAGTAATAAAGATTTAGGGTCACCAAAAAAAAAAAAAAAAGCCCAACTTTATGTGAATTCCACCCCAAGAAAAAAGGGGGTGGACACAGAATCCAAAAAGCACAGCTAGTCAAAGTCACCTAGCCTAAGGACAAAACAGGCACCAGTGTATCAATAATCTTTGAGGGCAATTCTGCAATACAGAACAATTATTAAGCAAGATGGTCCCAAATCATGTCAAAATTTATACTAAAAATACTCTATTTAAGAAGGCATGAAATTATTTAATGTATTTATTTTATTTAATGTATTTCAGCACATTAAATTTTTTCATCAAAAATAGGTAATCTAGAAAGTTCATTTAAATCGAGTTCCCATTTCTGATAATGTCAAATATTTTTAAATTAGGAAGATTACTTATTATACATGTCCATGCACGTACATCATAAGACCTCCTTTTATGGGACAATATCATCTTTAAATATCTTTTGACTTTCTATATAACTATCTGTATGCTCTCAAAAGCCTAATATTTTAGGGTCTAAACTACGTTTTCCATGTTTCTTATATTGGGAACAGCACAAACTCCTCTGCCAGACTATGTATTCCCAATATTGCTTAAAAAAATATGGCTGGCTGGTTGTGGTGAAGAAGTAGGAAATTCAACTGTTCAAATCTCATTACAATACTATGTAACCTAGGAGTCAAAATGCTATGCAATAGAACACAACAGCTTTGGCTTCCTTGGGGCTAACCCTGGGTCCAATGGACCCACCCCTTACTCTTCTACTATAAATTTGTACTTCAGCATTATAGTAGCTGACTGTGTGTCTCAGTACCTTTCCCCAAGGGATAAAGGAAGCAATCTATATGTTTACCCACTTCATACGATCAATAACAGTGTGCACGTGTGCAAAAGTGGCAAAATGGGATTTAGAACCGCCTTTATAGTCTAACTGGTTTTGGCATGTTTACCTGAGTATCACAGACAGTTCAACAGATCCACCCCACTCTAGGACTTGTTAAAAAAAAGTTTCTTTGATTTTTTTTTTGGTAGAAGTAGCCCAATTCATTACAATGGCACAAAGAAACCAGATTTACAAGCTTTAAAGGAGGCCAAAAGTGAATCATCAGATTACTCATGCATGGATTATGAAGATGATCCATTATGGTAAAACACATGCATTCATAACAGAAGACTGATGTGGGTGGAGAATGATGATGATGGTGGTGATGATGACGACTTTGACATGGGCCATGTGAGCCAAAATTCCTGTGACAGTGAAATGGAGCAAGAATTGACTGACACAGACACAGGGAAGGCAGACCTCCTTGATTCAGATGATGAAGAAAACAGCAGTGTGAGTACCTATTTGACTAGTCGAAATGTTGCAAAATGGTCATGTGACCAAATGGAACAAGCCAATATTAGAACTGGGTCTGAACATATAGTGAAGGTCTCACAAGGGGTGAAATATATTGGACAGAATGCCAACATTGACATTCAATGTTGGAAACTGTAACAGAGGAAACGCTACAAGACCCTGTGAATACACAAAGGCTGAAATGCAAGTAAAATGTTCTGTATGCACCAATAACCATATTAAAAAATGTATTTATGACCCTCACTAGCTGAACTGAAAGCATTCACAGGTCTTATTAAAATAAATCTTAGCACAGACTTCTCATGTGATCACAGGAATGTAAAAGACTTACAGAAAAGTGATGGGCCAAAATATGACATAAAAATTTATACCTTTGTAGATGCAAAAATTCATGCTTTCAATTTAGACATTTATCCTGGAACTCAGCCGACAAGTCCTTACTAGTATAGTAATAAACTGAATGAAGTTGTGAACAGACTTATTGCTCCCATCTCCCACACTGGTCGGACTGTGATATCCAACTGATGTTACATTTGCTAACAGCACAAGTTGAACAGCACAGGGACTGTACACAGGAACAAAGCAGAAATTCCCAATGAATTTTGCAATCTCAAAACAGACTGTATAATACAATCTTTGGATTTCAGAAAGATGTAACACTACCTCAGATATGGCAAAGAAAAACAAACTGGTACTGCTGATGTCAACATTTCACCACCATGGAAATACTGATTTTGTCAAGGGAAACCTCGACAAAACAGAAGGCTGAGATGGAAACTTTCAACAACAAATTATGCAGTTATGATGTCACTTGAAACACAAAGCACTGACCAATGGTTGTGTTTTACTTGATCCTAAACATGTGTGGAATAGCTTGACAGTTTATAAAGAAAATAACAAGTGCAAAGTATCATGGAGAAATTTTCTTAAGAAAAAAAAATGTTTCTGCCCTGGGAACTATGCAAAAAAACCTGTGGAACACACTGGTGAGCTGACAGGTGAACAGGCAGGCACAGCATCACAAAGACCTACTATGACAACAGGAAACAAAAAAGATGTCAACTGTGCCCTGCTAGAGCGTACAAGAAAACAAAATATACATGCTATCAGTTTGAGTCATGCATGAAACATCAATTGTCACGTAGGAAGACTCCCTGGGGTATGACAGCTTATTTTTATAGTAGAGTTCTATTGTTATTTTCATTGTAGTTCATATAGGAATTTATTTGTTTTTTTTTAAGCTATCTTGTGTGTGTGTGTATATAAATATATATTTCCCTTCCTTCTTTCTTTTCTTCTTTCCCTCATCCCAGTTGTTCTTTCTTGTTAAGCAGATTCTTTCCTTTTCACAATATCTTCTTTAAAATTTATTTTAAAAGTAAAAAAAGGAAAACATATTAACAAACAGACATCCATTTACAAAATAGCATAAGAACAATACAAGCAATACTGCATTACACACAAAGTGGTAAGAAATTAACAATGGTTGTTGTGGTTTCTCAGAAAAACAAATAGAGACATGCCAGATTGATTAAATAATTAATCATTAACTGTTCCGTTCAGTAAAGCAATAGAAGTAAGTAGTAAAACTATGTTAGGAATTTATAGGAATTTATTGTATAGGAATTTATTTCTGATGTTATTTTTAAGGTTTTGTAAGCAAGTACACAGCTGATATAAAAAGCTGATATAAAGATATAAAAAGCTGATATAAAGATATAAAAAGCTGATATAAAAAGTTGATATAAAAGGTTTTATAAGCAAGTACACAGCTGATATAAAAATGCTGATGTCTATTTTAAATGCATAATACTTATTAAGAATTTAATAATTTACTTTACTGATATTTTATATTCCTGTTAACTACACACTGTGTATTACAAGAACCTCCTGACAAAACAAGACCACTAAGATGTCAAATATGTCCCACAAAAAGGCCAGGAAAACAAAAGACATGGCTGTCAGTGCAAGCAATTTGTATGCACAGAACATGCTTTTGTTGTGTGTGTGGACTGCCTTTGTGTGTAGACTGTCTTAGGTGTGATAGTTGAAGCAAAGAACTTTTTTTGTAGGATGCTATTGGTATTTTCATTGTAGTTCATATAGTAACTTTATTTCTGATGTTTGTTTTGACTTTGTACATCAAAAAAGTTGATGCTGAAAATTTTGATGCCTTTTATAGGCTCAATAAATATTAAAAACTCTATTTTTGTGATTTTTCTCCTGTTAAGTGCAATTGTTTAATATAATAAAACTTATAAAATTAAAATTAATAATTCATCAATAAAAATATTCTAAAGAATAAACATGGGTCTTGTGGACCCATCTTTCTGTGCCTTGATGACAAAATTACTCTTATGCCCCAAGGACTAATTATGGTTCACCTGAAGCTTGAAAATGCATTATACAAAAACCATTAAGTACTTTGTTCCTAAGTATCTAAAGGCTTGATATCTAGCAGAAACTCATTCAATATTACTATTGCTTATGTCCTGTTTCATCTTTGACATCTTTTCTGCATTACTCTTAAGAGGTAATCATTTAATGTTGAACATCAGTATTTTTATATGTAATTTATAATACATAACAGGCACCCAGATTGGTCAATGGACTATTAAGAAATGGGCCACACAGAGGGAGGTGAGCAATCCAAACTTCACCTCTATTTACAGCTGCTTCCCAGTGCCACCGCTGGGAAGTGCCTCCTGTCAGATCAGCGGTCACATTAGATTTTCATAGGACCTTGAACCTCCTATGAACTGGGCATGCCAGGAATCTAAGTCCCATGGTCCTTTGAATCATCCAGACTTCCACTATTGCCACCCCACCCCAAGGCCCTTGAAAAATTGTGTTTCATGAAACCAGTCCCTAATACCAAAAAGGCGGGGGCTGGGGATTTAGCTCAGCAGCACAGTGGCATAGCGCCTGCCTGGCAAGCGCAAGGTTGTGAGTTCGATTCCTGGTACCAGAAAAACAAAACAAAACAAAACAAACAAACAAACAAAAAATACCAAAAAAGCTGGGGACTGCTGACATACAGTAAGAGGGGAGTTCATATATTTTAGTTTTGCATTTGTACTTTGCCTTCAGATTTCAATTTTGTCTAGAAAATGTATTTGGTTTTCAACTATGTGCAACCTGTAAGCATGTAGAAGCAATGATGATACCTGATAGCAACTTATACTAGAATCCCTCCTTGATCAAAAAAAGTACAGTCTACTACAAACATTTCAGGTAGCATGAAAAAAAGGAAAGAGAAATTTTGCAGTAATTTTAAACCTCCAACCTATTAGGTTAATGCTGTTTTTATTACAGTCCAATCTCCACCCCATCAACAAGGATTACTAATTTTAAGTGTGTTACTTAAATTACTGTATGATTTATCTTATAAGACTTGACCAATATCTAAGTCTTAAGAAAAATTTTAAGCGCATTAAAGTAATTCAGCAGAGTTTCCTGCATCAAGATAATTTAAGCTATTTGACTTCCTACCTCTCCCAAGGGCCCCAGAATAACCAAAAATATAATAAAGAAAATCCTACAAAATAGGAACAAAAAAATTCCATTAAAATATTACATATTGGGCCAGGGATATAGCTCAGTGGCACAAGTGCCTCCCTGGTAAGTGCAAGTTCCTGAGTTCAATTCCTGGTATCAAAAAAAAAAAAAAATTACATATTATAAGATATTTGATAGGAAATGATCTGGTGATAGAAGAGTGAAAATAAGTACTGACCTACTAAAAATTATCTTTTCTCTTTTCTGGAACAGGTTATTACTATTTTGCTCAGTCTGGCCTCAATTTTCTGGGCTTAGTGATCCTCCTGCCTCAGTCTCCCCAGTAGCTGGGGACTAGCCACATGCCATCACACCCAGCTACCAACTAACCACCATTTTTGAAGAGGTAGTCCACTAAGAGACATTCATTTAAACAATATTTAATGAGCATCTGTCTGTTATACTTCATTATAAAAAGTGAGTGACAAAATTCTGCCCAATCCCTCTACTAAACATACCTTGGGAGAGAAAGCAAGAATGACTGGAGTAGAGCCCTTTCGATGATGATGCCTCGGGCTAAGATATAAAAAGAAAAATTAAAGGATGGAAAACAATACAGTGGAAAAAACAATACAGTGGAAAACAATACACCTGCCAAAAAGCACGAGTAACTATCCTAATTTCAGACAAAATTTTTGCCACCTACTTCTCAAAGGATTTATAGAATATATAAGGAACTAAAAACAGGTAAGACTTCCCCAAATAAAAGATTTAACCGAAAAATGGGCATATGAAATGAACAGACAGTTCTCAGATGAAGTAGTACAAACAGTCAATAAAATGTAATGAAATACATGAGAAAACTGTCAACATCTCTGGTCATTTGAGCAATGCAAATTAAAAGAATAATGGGATTCCATGTCAGTCCAGAAAGAATGGCCATTATGCAGAAATCAAACAATAACATATGATGGAGAGACAGGAGGGGAAAAGAAATCTTTTTCATTGTTGGCAGGAATGTAAACTAGTACAATCACCATGGAAATCAATATGGAGATTCTTCAAAAAACTAAAACTAGACCATTTCTATGAAATGGAATTCCTTCTAAGAAAATGAGGTATTTATACACAATGGAGTACTGTTCTGCCATAAAGGATAAACGAGGTATTTGTAGGAAATTGAGCGTTTGTTGACATCATAATGTTAAGTGAAGTAAATCAAGGCACAAAAGCTTAAATATTGCATGACTTCTCTTATAAAAGAACCCCAATATACAAATAAAAGACAAACAATAAGAATAAAAAGACAGAAAAAACTTATTGTGATCCAGCATGGCTAATATATCTGAATGCATACCTTGATGTAGTATAATTATCTCACATGTTTTACATGTTTTTTGGCCTGTTAGTCTGGCTGTTAATCTGTGTTTATAATAATTAACTTCATAGAGACTTATGAAATAAATCTGATGCTAGCAAAGAAAAAAGAAAAAATTTTAAAAAGAAGGTGAAAAGGAAGGGAAAAGAAGAATTGAGATGTGTTATGTACATGTACCAACTTCCCACAACATTATGTACTACAAACATGTATTAGGGGCTGGGGATTTAGCTCAGTGGCGAAGCGCCTGCCTGGCAAGCACAAGGTTGTGAGTTCGATTCCTGGTACCAGAAGAAAAACGAAAAACAAACAAAAAAGACCAAAAAAACAACAAAAAAACCCCATGTATTAGTAAAAATTTCATAAAATAAAATTTTTAAAATAAAGTAAAAAAGAGAAATAAAGATGCCAAGTAAAAACTAAAGAAATTTACAACCAAGCCAGTACTGAAAAAAAAAAAAAAAAAGACAATCTTAAACACAGAGGAAGTCAATTACAACAACAAGGTCAAGGGAAAGAATAAATCTCACTGAAAGAATAGTTAAACAAATGAGAAACAACAATGAATCAAACATTGGAAAAAAAACAAAAATGACAAGAATTAGTGTATACTTTTCTATAATAACAACACTTCAGGTAAATAGTGTTCCTTTTCCAAAAAAAAGGCACAGACCGGCAGACTGGATCTAAAGCAAGACCCATCTATACGATGCTTGCAAGAGACACAGTTCACTTGTATATATAGTATGAGCTGGAAATCAAAGGTGGAAAATGATACTCTAAGCAGCAGACTTTACGCGTTCATTACAAGGCTGTAATTCATGTCTTGTTGCTGAACCAACAACTGAACTGGCTTGAACCACCAGTGGTACATGCATGACTGTCTTTTCAGGTGGCTCCTTATTGATTTTAATAATAAAAAGACCAATTAAAATGATTAGACCCATCTGTACCTCCAATGGTACAGACCACCTGATGGGACAGTCATGTATATACTACTGAAGATTCAAGCCAGCACATATGTACATGTTAAAGCAAGCAGGAGGAATATCTTTACTTTCATCCAGCAAAGGTGATGTCAAATCAAATTTAGTCAGAAGAAACAAAGATCACTACATATAGTGAAGGGAACAATTCACCAAGACAAAATAACAATTATATATGCAGCAAACAATGTTAAATTCAATTCTGTAAAACGCTACCTAAATAAAAAGACAGACAGATATCATAGAGGGGGACTTTACTATGCCACTCTCACAAACAGAACAACCAGACAAAATCAA